ATATACATATATATATACACACATACACACATATATGTAAAACTTGGGTTTATACACCTATCCCAATGTTTATATCAACTGATGATGAATGGACAAAGAAAATATTCCATAATGGAATATTATTTGGCAATAAAAATGAAATACTGATCCATGTTATAGCATCCACGAACTTTGAACACATCACGCTAAGTGAAAGAAGCCAGTCACAAAAGACCATATATTGTATGATTCCATTTATGTGAAATATCCAGAATAAGCAAATCTATACGTATAGAAAGTAAATTAGTGATTACCTGGGACTGGGGGAGGGGTGAATGGAAAATGACTGCTAATGGGTATGGGGCTGCTTTTCAGATTATTGAAAATGTTCTAAAATTACATTGAGGTGACAGTTATACAATTCCGTACATATAAAAATATATACTAAAAATCACTGAATTATACACTTCAAATGGATGAATTTTATGGTACGTCAAATACGTCTCAAAAAAGATGTGGGAAAAAACTTGCTAGAGGTTTTTTTTTCATTAGCCTTCATTTATGTTCCGTGAGAGAAGCAGGATGTTATAGGGTTCCAAGGTCAAATATATAGGCAATGTCAAGTTAAACAGGTCTCTTTTCTGAAGGCTTCTCAGAGCCTTTCATTCATATTATGTGCATAATGTGCATAATAAATCACCAATGGGGGGTAGAAGTGAGATATAGGCTGCATCATTTCCCAAACATATCTGGCCACAGAACCTTTTTTAGTGGAGCAGCATCACACAGGACTAGGTTTTGCAGAGCCCACTCTGGGAAACCACGTGCTTAGTAATTTTCTCATTCACTCATCAAGCACTACTTGACCCCTACAATGCTCCTGCAACTCAATCACTTCTGGGCTATAGAGATGAGGTCAGTACTTTCCTTGAACTCACAGAAAGCAGGTCTAGAAGAAAGAAAAGGAATGTGCTCGAACAAGTTAAACACACCAGGAAGAGCACAATGCCAGTGCTGTGAATCGAATACTGTGAGGCCCGATGAGAGAGATTAATTCTGACTGCGAACTGCGGAACACTTCGTGGAAGACCCAGCACTTCAGCCAGGCCTTCAACCGGGGTGGGCTGTGGACACACGGAGATGGGAGGAAAGGATCTGGCATGGGAGCTTAGGTCCCAGGGATAAAGGGGAGGAGGGGGTGTGTTTGTAGCAGGAGAACAATGAGTAGTTGACTTTAGCTGGAATATGAATGAAGCATAGTAAGACAAACAGCTGTAAAGGATTGTGGGTCGATCTTGGAGAGCCTTGAAATGTCAAACCCCAAAAATATGAGTATTTAAACTTCATCCTATATGAAATGGAGACCCATGGCAGTGGAAGCAGTCCTAAGCAAGTCGCTCTTGGAGCCTTAGGGGTTTAATCTGTAAAATGGGGCTCATTCTACCAGCCTTATCTCACCTCGCTGTGTGAGAATCAGAGAACTTGGCCACAGGGCAGTGTAGCCCTGAGCAAATTTTATTACTCAGCAGTAGAACAGCTGTTTCCAGTTCCTTCAGAAGAATGTGTGTCTCAGAAACACCTGACACACGATATTTCATCTCTGTGTCACGGCCAGACGGGAAATCTGAGATGAAAATGAACACTTTGAAACAGAACATATTTTAAAGTTCTGGAGCAGTCAAATCAGATCTGTATTTGATTTCATTTTATTTTGTTTAGAATGAAATAGGGACTGCAAGGAAGGAACAGCTGCTGGAAACAAAGACAGGGAAAGAATATAAACAGCAGATTGCCTGACTTTCATGTCAAGTACTAAGACAAGGAGTGTGTGTGTGTGTGTGTGTGTGTGTGTGTGTGTGTGTGTATGAGAGAGAGAGAGATACCAAAAGAGTATATGAGTGTGTGTTCTAGAGAGTATACGTGCACGTGTGTCCAAGTATGGATGAGTGTATTTGGGTATATAAATCTGTGAGAGAGTGTGCCTGTCTTGGTTAATGTGTGAGTTTGGGGTGTGTGTCTCTGTGTATGTGGGTATATGTTGGGAGTAGGGGTCCATGGAGAAGGCACTCCAGCAAAATTGCTGAACTGTTTACGTTTCTCCTACCACATGGTACAAGAACAAAGCAAGCTGGAGACAGTGATCCCAAGGTACTGCCAGGACTGGCAAAACTCCTCCCACAGGGACACCAAAACTTTACAGGTAGAAATCTCTGCTAGCCCAGGAGCCTTACCCAGCTGAGCTGTCCCGGGAGCGCCGAAGCCATCTTGCCACCATTTGTTCTATTCTGTGTGCTTTCCGTGTCTGGAATAAACTGGTCTCCAGCTCTTCCATTTACCTAAAAGGAAGAAGAACGTTCTTAAGAAGCTAACCTAAATACTATAAAGAGGATTCTGGCAAATCAGTATGATGTTTCCTGTACTTACCCATTTTAAGACATGCTGATCAAATAACTAGTGTTTTCCTTTTATCTGAAATCATCATAAATGGGTACTCAATGTCCACAAAGCGAACAACTTTAGTAACCCTTTGCCCTAAAGAGAGTCTTGTGATAAACAGTTTGGCTTAATATCTTAAAGAGTTAAACATAGGCCGGGTGCGGTGGCTCACACCTGTAATCCTAGCACTCTGGGAGGCCGAGGCGGGCGGATTATTTGAGCTCAGGAGTTTGAGACCAGCCTGAGCAAGAGCGAGACCCCCGTCTCTACTAAAAATAGAAAGAAAGTAATCAGACAACTAAAAATATACAGAAA